GTAAGCACCCCTGCAGGGGTAGACTTAGTAGCTAGGAATAGAGTAAAGAATAGTCAAGTAATCTTAGGAAACCAAACTTTAAGCGTTGACCTGATAGTAGTAAACATGACGGACTTCAACTTCATACTAGACATGGATTGGCTAGCCGAAAATCATGCTAGTATAGACTGTCGTAAAAAGAAAGTAAATTTTTTACCATCGGCAGGGCCTACCTTCAAATTTAAAGGCACGAGTATCGGGATTACTTCCAAGGTAGTCTCGATGATGAAAGCAAAATGGTTAGTCTAACAAGGCGGATGGACTATATTAGCATGTGCCGTAGACGTAAGAGGAAAAGAAAAGACACTAGAAAACGTGTCAATAGCAAACGAGTTCCTAGATATATTTTCAGACATCTACCAGGAATACCCCTTTCCCAAGTGGTCAACTTCGTCATCGAACTCGAGCCGAGAACTGGGCCTATTTCCAAAGCACCCTTTCGCATGACGTCAACAGAGTTGAAGAACTCAAGGTGTAGTTACAAAACTTACCGGATAAAGGGTTCATTTGACCTAGCATATCCCCCCTAAGGTGCGGTAGTGTTGTTTGTTAAGAAGAAAGATGGATCCATGCGTCTGTGCGGCAATTACAGAGAGCTAAATAAGAGAACCGCAAAAAACAAATACCTTCTGCCTAGAATAGAAGACCTATTCTATCAACTCAGAGAGCCAATTGTATTTTCAAAGATAGACCTTCGGTCTGATTATCACCAAATTAGGATCAATGAAAAAGACGTGCCAAAAATAACGTTTAGGACAAGGTATGGTCACTAAGAGTTCGTAGTGATGTCACTTGGTCTCACCAATGCCTCAACTGTGTTTATGGAGTTGATGAACCAAGTATTCAAGGACTGTCTAGACACATTTGTGATGTTTTTCATTGACGACATCCAAGTGTACTCGGAGACACATCTAGAACACCAGGAACACCGCTGAAAAGTCTGAACAACCCTGAGAGAGAACAAGTTGTACGACAAGTTCTTCAAGTGCTAATTTTGGTTATGACAAGTCTCTATCCTAGGACACATGGTGACAAAGGATGGAATATCGGTAGATCCCACCAAGGTAGAAGCGGTCAGAAAGTGGGAACACCCATCTACAGTAACAGAAGTAAGTAGTTTCCTAGGATTGGCGGGATACTATCGAAGGTTCGTGCAGAACTTAGCTAGGATAGCCTCGCTTTTAACACAGTTAACAAGAAAAGGGTACCATTTATAGGGAATGATGTTTGTGAGGCAAACTTCCAGAACCTAAAAGAGAGATTGGTAATCGCCTTGGTACTCACGGTACTCGAGAGCTCAGAAGGGTACATGATTTATAGTGACGACTCTAAGAAAGGACTGAGATGTGTATTAATGCAATACAACAAGGTTGTTGCAATCTAAAGTTCGCCGCTGTAGTGTTGGCACTGAAAATTTGGCGACACTACCTGTATGGAGAGAAAACTCAAATTTTTACCAACCATAAGAGTTTAAAATATTTCTTCACCCAGAAAGAGTTAAATATGAGGAAGAGAAGGTGGTTAGAATTGGTGAAGGACTATTAAGTTAAGTAGATATCTAGTACCACCCTGAAAAAGTAAACGTGGTTGCATATGCTTTTAGTAGAAAGACGGTCCACTCGTTGGCTCTCATTACAAGGGAAGTAAGGGTACAAAGAGAATTTGAGTGAGCCAACATAGTTCTAGTAACTGAGGGAGTCATAGCACAGTTGGCCCGACTCATAGTGCAACCTACGGCTAGGCAGAGAATTATTACCTCCCAACAAGAAGATCCAAACCTACATAAAGTCCTAAGCCAGCTAGACGAGAGTCCAATAGATGGATGCTCTAAGTGCTTAGATGAAGGGCTATTGTATTAAGGACGCATATGTGTCCCAAAAATAGAAGAGCTAAGGAAAGAAATATTGACGGAATCTCACAACTTGCCATTTACCATGCACCCAGGAGTTATTAAGATGTACCAAGATTTAAAACAACATTTATAGTGGAAGAGCATGAAGAGGGACGTGGTTGAGTTTGTGATCAAGTGCTTAGTTTGTCAACAAGTGAAAGCTTCTAGACAAAAGACAACGTGGATGTTACAGCCCCTAAACACCCTAATCAAACCGAAAAAACCCTCACCGACCTTTATACCTTCCCCCAGAGTGAACACATGTCGCAAATCACAGGTATCACCATCGAAGAAAGAGATCTAAACAACGAGTTTTTGAGGAAATGAGATCTACCTCCACAAATGTCCAACAACCATGAATTTTCGTGGGAAGGTGGATGTAACACCTCAACAAAAAAGAAAAAGAAAAGAAAAGAAAGTTAGCCAAGTCAGTTTACCTAAAAAAAATGAAAGAGAGTTAGAGGGAAAGGTTGAGAGAAGAAATAGAAGGAGCTGCCAGAAATCCTATCAAAAACCACCATAAGAATCCATTTTCCGCCGACGAGGGACCACTCCTTAGAGAAAAGAGAGGTCTGAGAAGCAAAGGTTCGTTCGCATCATGGTTTGAGAATGTTTCATGAGGTAAGACCCTTGAACGAACTTTTTCAGATCTGAGATTTTCCTATGTGAATTGAGTCCTAAAATGTTGATATATTCACCTAGGAACAACTCTCCACACGATATGTGAAGAAGTTTAGCCAAAATCTCAATCTGAAGGTGAAAATTTGAGAATCGTTCGAGAACGGTAAGCGAACTTCGAACACTCGTAACTCGTCTGGTAGTTGTTAGATTGAATAGCACTATGACCTATATGAGTCGCGACCTTATGTATTTATAGATTTGTACAATGAAGATTACGTGGTGGTCCTTGGTCCAAGATAACAAACCAGGGAATCAGTAGATTCTCCTTGATCCAATGTAACAAACAAGGAAATCAGTAGATTCTCTACAAGGTAACAAACCAGGAAATCAATAGATTCTCCTTGATCATGGTAACAAACTAGGAAATCAGTAGATTATCTTACTATGTACAAATATGACTTATTCTACGTTTAACACCCACCTATCAATCTTGACGATGTACAACTAAATTTAGATTGCGCCTAAAACTACTAAAAGAAGGAGCTGGCAGTGACTTCGTCACGATATCGGCGAGCTGATCCATGGAAGATATGAGTCGCACATCAAGCTGATGAGTCGATACTCGTTCACGAACGAAGTAATAATCAACCTCAACATGCTTCGCCCATCAATGAAAGATTGGATTTGCATTTAAATAGGTGGCACCAATGTTGTCACACCACAGGCTAGGCGCTCGCGCTTGCAAGATCTCGAGCTCACGCAAGAGGACTGATGGTGTTAATATAATACATGCGGAAGCAATTTTGATCTTAGGCACTTTTAGAACATCAATTACAGTAAATAACTAGCATGTTCATAAGTATTAAAACTTAATGAGTTTGAATACTAACCTTCTATAGTTCAAATTCCTTTTTCCTCGCGAACTGGTTTCGAACCACCACTAGTGTCTTCACCACTATCCTCCGACCTTAGAACGGGATTGTGGAATCCGTGAGTGACTAAACTTGGGAGGGATTTTGTATATACGAAGAGAGTGTTTGTGAAAAGTTTTTCTCCAGGTTTTTCACCAAGGAAGCTCTTCCATGTACCATGATCACTCTATTTATAGAGTTATGTTTGCATGTTCATACAAATTTTAGATCACCCAATTTTGACACTCAAAATTCCACTCAAATGTTTGGGATTATGTGGCAAACATGCAAGTTTGAGTTCACCAAATTTTGACACTCAAAATTTCACTAAAATTGGTGGGGGTTTATTTGGCAAGCATGCAAGTTTGGTTAAACCAAATTTTGACACCTCAAAATTCCACTAACATGGATTTTTCCCTTAAATAAAGTCAACATTCTGACTTTATTCATTTTAATTCAACAATTAATTTGAATAACTAATTTACATTAAAGTAATATTAAATGTAAACTATTTAATTAATATTTAATATTAATTCAAATGCCAATCCCAATCAATTCGGATACATATTTGATTAAGATATTTAAATCTTATTTAAATATCTTAGATTCTCTCTTTTTGTTTAATTTGTAAATAAAACAAAAAATGCGGTTAAATATATCGTATATATGTAGCGCATATTCCCTATTTTGAATTCAAACACTTTGAACTCACTCGTATGGTTTAGTCCGATATGAGCTAGTTGTTGAAATTTGTTGTCTTACCCAGTATACTATCTTGATATACTTTACTACTGGTGTACGTAATCATGCTGTGACAGTGGATGAGATGTTTATTTATCAGCCCTCTAGGTGCTCGATGGAAGTTATCGCCCCATTGAGCATGTGTGACTCCTAGTGAATGATTGTGTGATCCCTCCCTTTTGAGAATAAGCAACAGAATCGAGTTAAGTCTAAGGTAAGCACGTAGATTGGTGGGTCGAGACTTTGGATTGAACACCTTTAGAGGTCTAAGACCAATGGAATCATGAAGGGCGATCAGAGAGTGAGACAATATTATAACAAAATAATGTGTGCACATAAGTAATTTACAGCACGACAATATTTAAAACAAAAAATAAGAAAACGAACTCAAAACATTTTCAAACAAAAGAGTTGAGGATGACGGGTGAGGTTATTCTATGGCACCTGCCCAAGAGTCCACTCCCAACTTCGACCAGCTCCTTACCGGAAAAAATGGAGAATAAGGAATGAGTACAAAGATGTAACATTTCATACCTATCATACCATAACATATACTGTCACGACCAGACTTTCGAGGCTTCGAAAGACCGAATCGTGACTAAAAAGACAAAATCGAAAACAAATAAAAATAAAAATAAAATAAAATAGAAGTTAAAATCTGGCAAAATTTAAAACAAGAAAAGGAAATCAAGGACACCAAAATTAATATAAAATCAAAGTCAAATGTTACAAATAGTCATTACAAATATAAAATGAAATACAAAAGACTCTTAATATAAAAACGGACAAATGACTTTCAAAGACTGACAAGGGACTGACCCTCCGGAATGACAGCCCTCTGTAAGAGTGCAGCTCTTGAACACCTCCCCGTATCGACTGGTACCTGAAAAAAAAGTGAAGAAAAGGGGTGAGTATAAAAATATACACGGTAAGCAACCTACTTTTAGGCTCTTTTCGCATCCTTATCTTGGTAGGTATCCACTGTCTTTCTCAGGTTTCTAAGGAGAGTGATCTAAGCTGCAACTCTCTTTTCTATATCTTAGGAGGTTTGCCCATCTTAAGCAGTGAAATGATCAGTATCTTGAGGTGAGATCCGACCTCATAAGTAAATTTGAGGGGATCGTATGGCTGGATTTGAATACATGACTCTCTCTGAACATAATCCGTAAAGGTTAGCTGATGACCCTCACATGGGACCATACATCCACTAAATTCAGGGTACGACCCTCTTTGTGCCGGTCAACTATTGTGTCATCCTGTGTGGCTCCACGTCCCCCGCTCAGGGATGGGTTTCTACGGCCCAGGAGTCCTATTCAGAAGACCCCTTAGCTATCACCACTAGGTCTGGGCACCTGTCACACTTTCCTTTCCGGATCTGCCAAGCTCAATGATCTCCGTACTGGAGCTCTGTCTTGACGGTACGGTATTGGAGGAGAGAGGGAAGTGGAGATTCTGATGACACTATCTACACTACTCAACTCTAGCTATCCTTAATCATTTCATTTTCGCAGTTTCCATACAAATATTCTAGGTCCGGCTAGCTAAGTTTATGGGTGGTAGCATGCATGCTCGTTCCTACCGGTTCCTACAAGTACTGCTCGTGGGAATCAAAATGGCTACTTACATAGTTGATGCGTGCCTTCCCAAGCTCGAATTATTTGCTGGAAAAGGTTACAAAAATTCTGGAATTTCCTTAATAGGCCCTAATACAAGTTGGACTTAGATCAGTATCAAAACTGAGATGAAAAATAGTCGGACAGAAGTCAAATCGGGATACAAATAGATCTCACGCGTTGGTTCACGTGCCTCACGCGCCGGAGGGATTTCCTACGCGCACAGACACGCACGCGTATGGATGCGTTGAGGGGATGGAGTCGCGCGCTGGTGTGTCGCCATGTGGCGAGGGCTGACTGGTCCATTGAGAGGCAGGGCGTGTGTTCGAATCTGGACGCACGTGGGTTCCTACGAATTTTCCCACGCTGACGCATGGCAAATGCGGGTTCACGAATCTGGTAGCGGGCACCGATCTTCAAACCCTACGTAACGTAGTATTTTTTGTAAATTTTCCCCCGCCTTTTCACGCCTAACACGTGTCCTATCTTTCAGACGATGCGCGACACTCTCCTTTCCTGACATGCGTCCCTCCTAATGGTGTTAATATAACACATGCGGAAGCAATTTGGATCTTAGGCACTTTTAGAACATCAATTATAGTAAAAAAAAAAACTAGCATGTTCATAAGTATTAAAACTTAATGAGTTTAGATACTAACCTTTCCTAGTTCAAACTCTTTTTTCCTCACGAACCGGTTTCGAACCACCACTAGTGTCTTCTCCACTATTCTCCGGCCTTATAACGGGATTGTGGAATCTGGTGAGTGACTAAACTTGGGAGGGATTTTGTATATGTGAAGAGAGTGTTTGTGAGTGGTTTTTCTAAAGGTTTTTCAACAAGAAGAAGAAGCCCTTCCATGTACCATGATCACTCTATTTAAAGAGCCATGTTTGCATGTTCATGCAAATTTGAGATCACCAAATTTTGACATTTAAAATTCCACTCAAACTTGTGAGGTTTATTTGACAAACAAGCAAGTTTGGTTAAACCAAATTTTGACACCTCAAAATTCCACTAACATGGATTTTTCGATTAAATGAAGTCAACATTTTGACTTTCTTCATTTTAATTCAACAATTAATTTGAATAATGAATTTCAAATTAAAGTAACATTAAATGATTAATTAAACTATTTAATTAATATTTAATATTAATTCAAATGCCAATCCCAATCAATTCCGACACATAATTGATTAAGATATTTAAATATCTCATATTCTCTCTTTTTGTTATATTCGTAAATAAAACAAAAATGCGGTAAAATATGTCGTATATATGTAACGCATATTCCCTAATTTGAATTCGAACACTTCGAACTCACTCGTCACACTGTTCTATGGTTTAGTCCGATATGAGCTAACAGAGGGACCTAATGGACCTATAGATCATGGGCTCCAACGATCCAAGATTAACCGGTTAAACTCATTAACCTTGTTAACCAACATTCGTTAACTACTAGGACACTCCACTATAGCCTAGTAGTTGCACTCCCCTCATTATAGATATATTTCTGTCCATTTGATATAACCATGATTAATAAGTCGATCCTTCACAAGTTGTTCGTAACTAGAGTTGGGTCAATTAGCCGTTTTACCCCTGAAGTTACTTCTTGTTCCATATGTCCCACTAATCCTCTTATGAACAATTGGTTTGTGGTTCAACCAGTAAACCGAATCCCTCTCAGGCCAATGAGTAGGTGGGGCCCCTTGTTCAAGACCTGGAGTCAGTACTTAAGGAACCTACCTCTCTTAAAAGTGGGTAGGAGCGAATTCCATCTTGCACCCCACGTCCCCAGCTATTCACCTAGTCTTACCCCTGAAATGGGAGGCCTATAGAGTCGGCGAACTCGAGCCACTCTCACCCATGCAAATCTAAGGATAATTCCGAATGAACAGGAGTTCATGGTTAGCTCAGGATTAAGATCGAGTTACCTAGGTCATCGAATGAAAAGAAAATCAGTCTCAACAGTAAACGACATTATAACGTGAGAGTGATTTTCTTCATGGTCTGATTTTTTGCAATACTCATTGCATAGGACGCCCCCACTCACATGTCTCCACATGTACAATTTAGTGATCACATTGTTTATATCATATACAAAAGTGGGCCGCATCCATAGTGTCCCCAGAATAAGGTACTCAGCCTTATCCTTATACTATAGATCATTTTGGTTATATACTTGGACTTGATCCACTTTTATGTCTCTACATATAGTTCAAGTAATCATACTATAGCCAGAGTGTTCTTAGTTTATTGAATTTAGATTAATGCTTGTAAAGTTCACTTTATTCAAGAACACTTTTTTCTGAATAAACATCAATAATAACTTTATTGAAAATAGAATATATCTTTGTTTACAAACTATGAGTTTTTGGACATTAAAACCCAACACCTCCGTCATTCGTCTTCTTCCTCTCATCTTTGCGATTTTCCAGAAAACTGATTATTTTCTATTTTCTTTGCATTTTCGTATTTCTTTCTACACAACTCAGATTAACGGGATTTCTTCACGAGATTTATAGATCTCATATCCATCTACATATAGGTATTTTTCTTGTAATTTATTTCTAACTACAGACATAATAAACTTGGTCCAAAGTTGGCAAGATCATCAATACTTACATCCTTTGGTGAAAGCTGGAACTCCTATTTCTGATATGAATCGATCAAGACTTCCTTCATGGATTAAGAGCGTAATTCTCTCTGAATTAACATACTCAAATTTCAGAATCTAACTCCCAATATTTCTCATAGATCTGAGGAAAACCCGAAAAGAAATGTTCAAGAATTTACCTACGGATTTTCTTCGTTCCTTGACGGTTTTGAATGATTCAAGGGTCCAGAAAGCTTCCTATAGGTTCTGCGAAGGATTTGTGAAGAAATCTCACTGGAATCACACTCCTTGTGGCCAGATTGGAAGTAGCGGTTACTTCTCCTTCTCTCTAGAACCTTCTTTCTCTCTCTATTTTCTTTTTCTTTTCTTTTTCTTTCCTCTCTTTCCTTACCCTTTTTATTTCTATTCTTTTATTCATCTTTTACTAACCTCCCTTTCTGGTTGGTAAGGAGGAAGATGGCAAAATGACCAAATTACCCCCGGGTTGACTTTCACCATTTTTCTAATTTTCTACCATTTTTCTTTTTATATTTTTCTTGAGATCCTGAGATATTTCTAAACATTTTTCTCTTCTACCTCATCTTAAAATTCAGTCTCTAACATGCTCAATAAAATCTCAGAATTTCAACTTAGCTACCTTGGTAAGTTTCTTCACTACTGTTTTGGTTCGACGAGTTGTTTGAAGCACGAGTGGCAGATGCCTAGTGGCCCTTGCTTGTGTCGTCCCTTGTGATTTCTATATTTGCATATTATGTTATGACGTGTTGTTATGATGACAAATGTTACGTTTTGTAATTTTATGTTTACTTATTATGCTATTGCGAATGTGACATATTATGAAAGTATGGTAGCATAGAGTACATTCACCTTATGTAATGATAAGAAATGGTTATGCAATGTATGAAATGAACAAAGATATGCATTGCACCAAAGATACATGCCCATATTTTAATTGGGATTGCATGGTAAGTGTTAGGCTGCTCTCATCATCCATGGGAGGTTCGTTGGCGAACCCTACCCATAGGACAATCTAGTCACCCAAGGTTAGGGAAGTGATCCCCTATGCTTGTCAACTATTACGATTACCCTCATAATCCTACATCCCCTCTTTTGACGGATCTACTATGCAAGATAATCAAAATGAACTATCGTTCACACAATCCTAGTTGGCCTAGGCCTGGTTCGACGGTACTTGTACCAAAGTGTAAAAGGAAGTTGAAGTAACAGCCTAGATGATACCTTTTCTTACTAATTTGTACTATCTTTCTATTCTTTGACCATGGAAACTTGCTTTGCTTATGCAGTGAGAGATCGAATACCTAGGTTGTGGCACGTCCTCATAAAATTCTAATCAGGCAATACGGTGATTTCTAGAATGAACATCTTGGAAAAGAGGTTGGTTGGTTTCTTCCTTAGGGCCAGAGAGTCACCTATATTTGGGGGATGTGATACTTCTGCATTAGCCAGCAATTAGGCTATCTCATGTTATTCCACACTCCCTTTTTAAGGAACAGGTTAACAACATAGTGGCCATATTCAAGAGACCACTGGCCATTTAGCAGAATAGAAGCTCAAACTACGCTAACTAGCATGTGCTTAGCTCAATAGTACTAATATTGTAGTGGAAAGGGATTGGAGGGTCTAAAGATAGGGTAGCATTCACGCGTCTCATAGTCTAAATAGTTACCTTGGTCATTCTTTGGAGTCGTGGAGATCTACTATTTTATTAGGGGCCTCTAATCACATCTTTGGGTAAACACAGGTCTAGATTTTTTATCACCGCTCACTATCCTAGGGTATTTTGATAAAGCAACCCTAATCCTCAATCCAACGAATCATGCTTTTGTTGAAGCAAGAACACTTGAATCCAAGTAATTAACATCTACTTATACAAAATTCAGAATTAGATTACCTCTTACAATCGAAGATCTAGAAGCAAGATTTGGAAACCTTGTTTTAAATCGAGTCACTCCGCAATCAAACTTAATCAAGGCTTGATTGAATGGCTCGGATGCAATTCTACCACAAGAATTGCTTAAAACTTAGAAATGACAAATATGATATTCCGATTTCTAAGGAAGCGTCTAAATTTGAGATCTCAATTTCATTCATCCACGAATTTGATTTTTACATAACAATTTGTTGGTGTTTATACTCCCCATAAATGACATTTGTGGCCAAGATTTAATTCCGATCCCCTTAAATCTCCACGAAAGACGAAGTCAATGTGACCCTTTGACAATTCCAAACATTATGAAATTAAAAATAATAAAGATTCTTATCATATTTAGTCCACTAGAAATCTATGGACCTTATCAAGATTCTGCACATGCTATTGCGTCCTAATCTTATCAAGATTCTCTAGAGCTTGCGAAGCACACGTCGCTCTTACCAATTCTAATTTCCTATGCAATGGAAAGCATAGAAAACGACATTCATACGAAATTTTATCATAGGGGGATTTTGGTAATTTCTTCCATCATGCATAACATACTCATCCATATTGCTCAATTTGTATTTTAATCATGCATATAATACATAAAAGACATACGTACAATACATACTCATAAAAAGAAAGCTTTTCTGAGGTCGTTAACATGTATTTTTGACGACGTAAGTTAAGGAATGCTCGCATGCTATCATGTCCTAGCGATCTATACAAGTATTACTTGCCTAAAGTTTATGTGGTTACTTACTTGAATGACATTTACATTCTTGTGCCAGCTATTCCACGTGTTTGGAGCTCAAGAATTTATGGAATTTCTCTCGTAGATCCTAATTAAAGCATAATTATGTTAATATCGAAGTCAAGATAAAAAACTAACAAACGGAGGTCGAACGAACAAAATGAGACTCACATGCGCTTACACACGTCGGGAAAGGCTTTTCACATGGAACTTCATGCATGGAGGTTTTTTGTAGATCTCGGTTACTCATTGAGTCATTGGATCAGGTTTAGGTTGCATTTTTTGTTAGGGTCAAAGGTTAACGAGTTGCACACGCAAGCTTTTGATCGAATCCAGGTTTACGGATCGGGTTAACCTACATGCATGTCACAATTAGTAGCTAAACGATTCTCTCCGCTCAGCATTTGCCACTTGTCCTACTGAGCTTCAGACTCGCTACTGCCAACGTCGTCTAACGCGTGCCTTCTCCCTTTTTCCCAACATTCATTATTTTAGAAATACGATGAGGTTTCTATTGCCTATCTAATTTCTTCTAAATTTTGTAACTTCTTAGGGGTACATATAGGTATTTTCTTTTAAGTTTATTTTAGCCACAACAAGAAATAATAAAGTGCAAATTCGGTCCAGAATTTAAAACTTAGGAAATTTACCATTTCTTTAAATTCAATGAAATACAGCCTTTAGATCGTAATGAACTCTAGCTTCCTGTATGAATCTTGGGTGAAATTCCCCCAATATGAACCTACTAAAAGTTTAGAACTTAATTTCAAGAAACGAAATTAGAAAAAATGAAATGCTTGCCGACGCTTTATTCATTCTTGATGGATTTGAATGGTAACACACTCGAGCCACAACAGATATATAACTCTTACTTTAATACCTTAAATTTGGAAATTTTTGGATTTTATTATTGATATAGAGGGTGAATCTCAAGTGCATAAGGGAAAAAAAAATGCTTGAGAAGCCTTAGGGAACCTTGGAACAAAAATTCAATATTTATCAAATTAAGAAAATTTTAGATAAAAATCCACGGGGACAAAAAGGTAATTTTTTTCTACCTTATAATTTGAGGGTTCTAGGATGGGGTGTATAGAAAACAAAGAAGAGTCAAGAAGGGAGAATTTGGGTTTTTGTGGAAGGAGGAAAAACAAGAAAGTAAAGAGGACGCCAATCGGACACTTAAATGAAAAATTTGGCAAAAGATTTATCTCTAGTCCTAGTAAGAGGATCGATGAGTGTCAGTTTTGGTTGTAGGATCGATCGATTTGACTACGATGTTCCAGGAAAGGATTCTTACAAGTTTCGTGTTGAAACTCGGCCATGATTTGTTTCACAATTAGATTCGAGAGATTTATAATTTCGATAAGAAAATAAATTTTTTTCTAAAATTTGAACTCAATTATTATGGTCTCTATCTTCCTAAAAATAAAAAAAAAAAATTGCATAGAATTGGTTGATCTCGATATCTTTATTTTTCGTGAAGAAACCAAGTCATTTCTAGTTAACGATTGGAAGATAAAAAGCAATCCAAAAAAATAGATTGAAATGCGTCGCTCAGTGAAATCTAGAAAAATTGAACGTTAGAAGAATCGACCATGGATACACAACTGCTGGTGACGAGAGAGAAGCGTATTAGCAAAAAGTTGAAATGTATCACAACGTGGCAGGAATGATGGGTCAACCAGTCAACGAGGACGTGTTCTGAGACACCACTTTACTCGCTAAACCGCACACGACCCAGTCTACCCTTTGTATCTCAAACAGTACCAAAGAACTAGAGTTCGATTCGTGTGCTCAAAATCCTACCCGACATGTTCATTAACCAATGACACACGTCCCACTGTACCTCCGCTAGATGTGTGGTAAACACGCGTAGAGAACATCTTTTGTGCTTGAATATCGCATGGTATGCGCACCTAGAAAACTTCTTTGGTGCTAGAAAAGCACGTGAGAGCGTGTATGGATTTTCTTTTTGTCCTGTAATCCTACTCGAGAAGGCACATGACAAATCTATAAGTAACAACATGAAAATCTATGAAGCAGTACTTGTACAATTCGCTTGCTTATGAATGCATGCTAGTAAAATTAATCCTAGGTAGCTATTCTTGATTAACAACTACCTAGGAAAGTTACTAAAAGGGAAAACAAGCTTGCTAGTTGTTGAAATTTCTTGTCTACTGGTGTAAGTAATCATGCTATGACAGTGGATGAGATGTTTATTTATCAGCACTCTAGGTGCTGGATGGATGTCATCACCCCATTGAGCATGTGTGATTCCTGGTGAATGACTGTGTGATTCCTGGTGAATGATTGTGTGATCCTTCCCTTTTGAGAATAAGCAACAGAATCGAGTACTGTCTAGGGTAAGCACGTAGATTGGTGGGTCGAGACTTTCTAGGATTTATTCTCCAAGACACTCCCCCTAGGATTTACGACACTAGCCATACACCTGACAATCCTGTGTCCAAGGCTTGTTACTCAGTGGTAGATCGACTACACTGCATTGTGGACACGTCGTGTTTTAGGACATCAATCACGAGGCTAGGTATAGTTACCCTGCACGTAGGATCCATCCTATGAGAGGTCGTTGATCATGTGAGTAACTTGTTTAGGTGGCATGTACCGAGGGGTAGCACCCCCTAACCC